CACAGACTTGGTAGGAATTAAAATTACACTTGAAAGGAAGCCCAGACCTGATTTCTCTATTACTATCATCATCATTGAATTTATTACAGTGGAACCTCGGTTTCCGAATGTCTCGGCTGCTGAACATTTCGGAAGCTGAATGCCAGAAACCTGGAACTGAATGCTTCCGTTTTCAAACTTTTTTTGGAACTTGAATGGCTTCTGAGGTACATTTCTCATTTTTTTCCCCATTGAAACTGCTGACAGCCCTTTGATCCTCTGTTTCTGAATGTTTTGGAAGCCGAACACTCTTCCAGAATGGATTACATTCGAAAACCGAGGTTCTACTGTACTTGCCCTCCAACATCAGGTCCCGGAGCAGGTAACAATTTAAATCTAAAATTTAAAAACAGTTCAAACAGACTACAGGCACAGAAATAGGGTGGGCTGTGAAAATACACATCTCAGGTTTCAAAGACCAGGGCAAAAAGGTGAATCTTCAGCATTCAGCAAAAGCCATATAGTGAAGAAACAAGGCTCAGCTGGGGGTGGCGGCAAGGAATTCCACAGAAAATGTCCACTTCTGAGGGAGGTAGAGCTGCCAAGAGGGTGTGTGACCTGGCGAAAGTCCTGAAGGACAGATAGAGAGGGTCCTCATCCCTGCTGTTTGGTCATTCTGGCTTTCAACCACAGAGAGTGCTGTCCTTCATGAATCAATCTAACCCTCCTTTAAGCCATCTCTGTGAACCCACCACAAATACATGGGGATAACAATGTGATTTATTTCATTTTATTAGCATACAAAGGATCTTTTTCATGTAATTTCCCCCTCCACCCACAAACACGTATTTCAATTCAGCTCAGGTGATTCATGCCTTGATAAACTTTTTCCTGCACCCACACCATCCAACTAGAAAAACAAGCGGGCAAGGCCAGAAATTTTTTAGAAGCCCCCAAAATATCAAAGGGATCTGTCACTTTAATGGGCTTGGCATTCTTACTTTTCTTTTCTTTTCCAAATTTAAAGACTTACAAACCACACTTTCATATAAAATATCACAAGGTGGTACACAAGCTAAAAGAACAGTACAGTGGTACCTCAGGTTACAGATGCTTCACGTTACAGACTCTGCTAACCCAGAAATAGTACCTCAGGTTAAGAACTTTGCTTCAGGATGAGAACAGAAATTGCATGGTGGCAGCAGGAGGCCCCATTAGCTAAAGTGGTACCTCAGGTTAAGAACAGTTTCGGGTTAAGAATGGACCTCCAGAACAAATTAAGTTCTTAACCTGAGGTACCACCGCATTGCAATAAAAACAGTAGAAAAGTCAAGCTTTGCACTGAGCACCCAGTGTGATTTGCTAGCCCTGAGTGTTCCAGCTTAAGGTGGCTTTGCCTGTGTAAACCCTGCCCCCATCTGATAGTTGGCCCTATCATTTGACAATTTAACACATAAACTGTAAGGCTTGTCCCCACATCAGGGATTTTTTAAAATCCTAGATGTGAACCATAATACACAGGTAGAGGGATGCTCTACCAGCCTGGTGGAGGCGCTATTTCTGTTAGATTTAATTCCCTTCCCATATGCTGCTAATCAAGTGGAAATCAGGGATCCTGCACCAAGGTTTACATTTACAATTTCCCCTGATATGGCTCCAAGCACCATGCAACTAACATCATGTGCCACTGGTACTTGAACGAAGGTGTAAAAAAAATTCCACAAAAGTTCCTTCTAATGTAAGGTTACCAGACGTCCCCGTTTCCCAGGGACAGTCCCCGGATTTATAAATCCCTGACAAAATCCATCTGTTTAGTAGGAAGTTGAAAAATGTCCCCGGATTCATTGAAAAAAATCTGGTAACCTTATTCTAATGTTAAGGGAAAGCGATAAGAAGAAAATATTTGTCTCAAAAAAGTAATGCAACGATGGAAAGGATTTGAATGCATCACAGACTGCTCTCCTGGCAAACCATGTTGTGCCACCATGTTCCCACATCTCACTCTGCATGTTCCGGAGGCAAACATGAGACTAAGCAGAGCAACTTTACATTGGGGAAGGGCGAGTGAAATTAAATAATACAGCCTGCTGGGTTTTTCGACTTTTTGCAGTGAGCGGCTGTTTGGCTTTGATCCCTGTCGAAAGAGCAGCCCATTTGACGTAAGGGCTACTCCCAACAAGCCACTCCAGAGGGACATCTTCTAAACTGCATTAAAGTGGAATAATGCTGAGACAGGAAATGCCAAAAGAGTTAACAAGGGGCTGTAAGCAAAACTCAAGCAGAAGATGAAGATACATTGTGGAAAGAAGAAGAAGAAGAAGAAGAAGAAGAAGAAGAAGAAGAAGAAGAAGAAGAAGAAGAAGGGGGAAATAGAGGTGGTGAAAATTGAAGGATATTCTCTCTGTGTCTGTCTGTCTCTTAAAAAAAAAAAACCCAGAGGAATGCAGCTGTGGAATAATAAAATAAGAGCGAGAAGTTAAACCAGTGACCCTTGTCAGCAGTGAAAAGCCGGAGATTAGAAAATGTTTCATGCTAATTTCCATGGAGATTTCTTTAATTTATCGAAAATTACTTTCTTCTGCTTTGATTTGTCCAGCCGCCTGCCCCCTCGCAGGCTCCTCTTGGTGGTCCTTCCCGTCACGCCAGGCTCAATATGGGCCTCGTTGGCCCCCACACTGGGCCCAGGCTTCGTAAGATTACTGAAGCGGCTCTGACGTCTCTATCAGCCTGCGCCACCACAATACCCTTCTTCCCCCCCGTCTCTCCCCTCCCTCTTTTCCTTTTTGCTGCATGTTCTTAGGATTCTCATCACATGATAGTTTCATTGTGGGCCTTCTCGCTAAAGTGATGGCTCTCTCTCTCCCCCCACCCCGCCTCCCTTCCCCACACTCTCCTCCTGATCTGTTCAGCTTGCTTTTCTCTGCAGCCTGGTATTATCAAAGGAGATTTGCGGGTCATTGAGCCGTGGACAAGGAATATGGAGTCATCAAGATGGTTTGGCAGCAATACACACACACACACACGAAAGAGAGAGATCTGAGTCAATGCTTCACATACCATCTCCCCATTCTTTCACCCACATGGCATCATTAACTTCCTTTATGAACATATGTTGAAAGCATTTAATTTCAAAAGGCTAATCAGAACATAGCAGTACAAGGCTCAAAAGAACCTTAAATATGCAATCTTCTAAATCAGGCCCATCTTCTTCCAAGCTAGCAAAGCAAAGGAAATGCTAGGTGGGTTTTTGGTGGGTTTGGGGTATGTGTGTGTTTTGGTTTACAGATACTAACGGGCTTCATTTGGAATTTCATTCCAGTGTTTCAACAGCATCACGTGGTTCTCGCTAATGCAGCTTTTGGCTTTTGGGTGGAGGGAAGTTCAGTCCAAGGATCCATGTCCTCCCATTGTTCTGAAGCAATAGGTAATCTTTTATTGGTGTGTTATGTGCCACTTGCTGATTTGTAGCAAACATGCCCAGGAGCATGGATAATGGGTGTGACAATTTTGGCTGGCAAAGTGAAATCGACCTTACTTGAAAAACAGGATTTGACCATTGTCACTGGAGCAATAGATTCTGAATATTTTGCATTTTGAAGAGGTGTTGCAAGAAATATTTGCTCAGATCCAGGGAATCAAATTATGCCCAAAAATGCATGTGGGGAGAGGATGATATTTGCCTTGAAAAAATTAAGCCACCATATTGAATGCTTTCCTCATTCTATGCCAGGGAGAGCCAATGTAGTATCCTCCAGAAATTGTAGACTCCATCTCCCATTTCAGATTGGGGGGAAAATGAGAAACCGGGAGAAACTGAAATTGACTGATTCACTCATCCCTAGCTATACCTGATTCAGGAAACCCACCAATCAAACCAAATGCACATGAGAATTCCCTATGAAAAGGAACTCAATTCAGTGTTAGAAGCTGTGAAGGCAGGGGCCAGTGCAATAATCTAGTTGCATTGCCCTTCATCAACCTGGTCTTCTCTAGATGTTTTGGTCTTTAGGTCCCATCAGCCCCAACCATCATGGCTATATTTGCTGGGGATGATGGGAGTTGTTTTCCAAAAGATCTGCAGGATTCCAAGTTGGGAAAGGCTGAGCTACCCTGAACATTCCTTTTTTTTTTTTTTACATTTACATTTTACATCATTGTGTAAGTCTTTTTCGAAAGCCTGCAAATTAGCCTCTTCCTATCTTTGCTCTTACCTGTAGCTGCAAACTCTTTTCTAAACTGTTCAAACCCAGGTGAACTTGCTTATTAAATACTTTTTTCCCCCTTAGCATAACCTAGATTCACCCTTTCTCTCCTGTGTATTCTCTAGAATTTGGCATTAAGCGCAATTGGCTCACCTACACTGCTGATTGGTAGGTATGTGGTCTGGGGGCCTGTTTAAGATTCACAGGATGCCATCCCTACTGATCTTTGAGAGACAATTGTCAGGCAGTAAGCACTTTCCAGGGGTGCAACAACTCCTCTCGGGCTATTGTATAATGGCAGGGTACCACCTTATGGGCTCCATTAGCACTGGAACTTAACAAAGGTGAGTCTCAGTTGAATGAGAACTCCTAATCACTTTTTAAAGCAAGAAAACTTTATTCCTATTTTGACATGATTTTTTTTCTTTTAACCAAACCTTCTATCTCCAGGGAACCCTTTTGACATCAGCTGGTGATCTGCTGAGGATGTTTTGCGGAGAATTCTGGGACATAATTTTGGATGTATGCTCAATTCAATGCATGAAGCTAGCCAGATACCTTATGGCATTACATGAGTCTGGAGAATGTGCCCTGTAATGCACCTAAGCTTCCCTTCCCTGCAAAAGCAGGGGGGGTTTGGTATGGGTTGGGCACACTGTTTTTCAGTGAACACTTGCCTGCCAATCCTCATTTTCCCATTGTCATTCCCATATGGTTATGATGGTTAGGTGCAGGGATGGATGGAGCAACCTAAGCCCACTCCATGTCAGCTTCACTGGTGCTCAGTCATGTCCATTGTGTCCCGTTTTTGCAGACAGAAGGGCTGTGGCTAAGTGGTAGAGCATCTGCCTTGCATGCAAGAGGTCCCCAGTTCAATCCTTGGCATCTCTAGGTAGGGCATGGAACTTGCTGAAACTTTTGATAACTGTTGCCCATCAATGTAGACAACAGTAGATAGACCAATGACTCCAAATAAGGCAGATCCCATGTTCCTATGACTCAGACCACCATATGATTCTTCCAAATGGTGAGAGGACAGTGTTCTCCACTGTGCTTGGGTGTGGCAGGCTACTTCTGGGAGCATACAACAGGACACATAATACATACAACTTAAAGCAGAGAGGAATAATGGCGGGGTTCAAAAAGAACAGCAAGGGGATTCCACCACTGCCTCTCCAGCATCTGCAGTCTGAAGTGGGTACCTCTTTCTGCTACTGGTTGAACTGGCCCTGTTCCCAGGTAAGACTGCATAGGATCATAGCCAGAGTTAGTTAATGGCTGAAGAGGGATTTCAAACGAGCACTTCTTAACTTTTGTATAAGACAGGCTGCTAGTGAGAACCAAGTTGGAAGAGAGATGATTCTGGGAAAGGAAGAAAAAAAAAGGTATGTTAGAATGAAAATTCCCTCTTGAAGCAAGTATGTCTACAGAATCTGTCTGCATAGAAAAATGAGACAAGAGGCTCATTCTGGCCTTTTCCCAGACTGACCAAGGAAATTTATAGCTTTGAACTCTATAGCACTCTTGGGCTGGTGCTCGACTAGGTGACTGAAGGTAAGGAAATAAATCAGTTATTGCTTACGATTCCTAAGGGGCCACACACCTTTGCACTAACAATAGTTATCTTCATCTAGGACTAACCTTCATAGCAGACCCACTACACAACCTTGATAGCGGTCACTAGTATCACCAGTATTGTTGATAAGCCAACTCTGATTCTTAATGGGCAAACACTGAGCATTTGATACCTGTAATCGAGACACAATATTTTACTTTGGCATTTGACATTCAACGGCTTGTGTTTAACAGTATTTGACATCTGGGGAATAATGGTGTTTCCAGCTTAATAATAGTGATAGTTGAGACAAAATAGTATTTCGTATGGCTACTTGTTTTAATTGATATGCTGTTGTTTGTCTGTGGCCAAATGAAAACTGTCTAGTGCCATTTGATAGATGACATGCAGTGTTATACTATTTCATATCCAACAGCTTCTGATAGTGTATATGTGATGCCTGCCATATCAGCCATGGCATATCAGCAAGAGCAGACCACTTAAATCCTGAAGGCAACCTTGTACATTCAGAACCTCAATGTGAATTTGGAATTTGGGGTGGCATTCAGTTAAGTTTCTCTCAGGGTAGATCCGCTGAAATTAATATACCAAACTTCACATTCATTATTTATCAGTGGGTCTTCTCTGAGTAAAATGTGGTTGAATACCACCCCAGAATTCTACGTTCGAAATCTGCAGAATTTAGAATTGTTGACAACTTTCATTTGATTACAAGGATAAATATTATTATCATCATCATCATCATCTCTAATTTTAATCATACTCAGAGTAGGCCCATTGAATGCAATGGACTTATTCATTAATTTCATTGGGTCTACTCTCAGTATGACTTAGTTGAATATTATTTCTTCTTCTCATTATCTTTTGTTATTGATTTAAATGTTACTGATTTAAATTGTTGTTGTTTTAGTTAATGTAAGGTGGATATGCAACATGATATCCTTATGATATGAAATTGCTGCTGAACTGTTTTGATATGATGAAGATTATATACTTTTTGCAATTTTTAAAATTTGCAATTGTTAACAAGAAAAAGAAATAATAAATAATGATGATGGTTAAAAAACAAATGATGAATAATTATCATTATCATTATCATTGCTTGTTCCAGTCGAGCAATAGCGGTCTCTCCACCACCATAAGAGATCCCAGAACCCAATTCTGTTGGGTCCCAAAATCACAGGATCCACAAATTTAAGATCCACAAATATCAAAGATTACTCTAAAACAAAATTGATGTAAGACATAAATTCTGACCAAAAAGGAAACACCACATCATATGCCTTATGAGGTGATATCAGCATTATATCACCAAAATCGATCTGAACTTAAGCAATCCTTTCCTATAGAAATGTTGTCAGTCAAATATATATGATTATTGCATTTTTCTAATGTATCAATCTTCTCATCATTTTCTTGCCTTTCGGGCACAATTTGTTGTGGGAAAGTGGCCTGCAGATAAAAGATGCAGGTGTTAATGTTGTGGGAAAGTGGTGTGCAGGTGGTGATGACAACAACTGTTCCTTGGGCAACCCATTTTACCACTGAGGATATCAGAGTGGTACTTTCAAGAGATTCTGCACCTGAGTACTGGCTGCGCCGAGACCTGCTGAGCTTTAGGGGTGGATCAGCATCAGTTATCAAATATAGACTGTCTACTGAGGCACAGTCCCAACAGGTAAAACCTGCTCTGCCGCTCAGCATCACCAAGCTCACCTGCCTCATTTTAGTTCCATTTAAGTACAGGTGTCTGATGTCTTACTTTATCCATCTTGATTTTCATACTCCCTCTGTCTTCATTCTTTCCTTCCTTCTTTCCTTCTTTCCTTCCCTCCTTCCTCCCCCCCCCCCCTTCAGTCTTCATATGCTGTTGTCTCAATCTTCAGAGAGAGAGATTGTTGTTTTGGAAGATTAAGATGAATCTGATTTTATGTTTCAGGTCCACACAAAACATAGATAGTTATGGAAGCTCAGACTCATTTTGACAGCAAATTCAGCCTCAGATGCCCTGCAGGGTATTGTGTCTAACCATATTGTGTCTCTCCCCCTCTCACCCTCCAGTTGCCTGCGAGGTTCCTTTTTTATCACCATGTAACTGGCATGGTGGAGGATGTAAGAACTAGAAGCGGGGTCTATGAGACATAGAAAAGATTCTGAAAGGTTTTATAAATAAGGTTTTGGAAGGTGTTTTTTTTATAAATATCATCATCCTCATTTATTTATTAATTGATCACCTTCTAAATCAGGGTGATTGGCCCATAAGAGAATTAAAAACAGTTAAAAATGCAAAAGCAACAAATACGTTTAAGACAAGACTAAAACCCTAACACATGGGCACTCTTGGTGGGAAAGCCTTTCATATTAAATCTGTATCCCATTGTTTCTGGAAAGTGTGGGTAGTGAGAACCTGTCATAACTCCACAGGATAGCTCAGATGATAGGGCAAGAGACTCTTAATCTCAGGGTTGTGGGTTTGAGCCTCACGTTGGGCAAAAAGATTCCTGCATTCCAATGGGCTGCATTGATGACGCTTGCGATCCCTTCCAATTCTGTGATTCTATATGTCGTAGGAATGCTGCTCCACAGAAAAGTGACAGCCACACTGAAAGCCCTGTTCTGGGTTACCACAGAGAGGACTTCTGAGATATTTGGAGCTTGCAGGAGAATCTCTCCCACAGACTGCAGCAATCTACTGTGTATGTAAGGGATAAGGCAGTCTCTTATGTAACCTGGTCCTGAACTGTATAGGGACTTCTATATTAGTATCAACACCTTCAACTTGGCTGAGTAGCAGACTGGCAGCCAGCGTGTTACATGTTGGTGGTAGTTTGCTCCCACATGCAACCAAGCCACCGAGTTCTGCATCAGCTGCAGCCTCTGGACCAACCCCAAGGGTCACCCCACATAGATTGCATTGTAGTAATCCAACCATGAGGTTACCAGTGCATGGACAGCTGCGGTCAAGCCCTAAGACAGACAGTATTAATCAAAAACCTCAAATGTTAAGCCACCCAAATTGCAGGAACCTAACGGGCAAGTTCTTGCTTATGCATTAAACAAGCAAACAGTTCCCAGCCAAACCACGGCTTCAAAAACAAGAACAAAACAAAAGTCACTTTTTAGGAAATGTTTTTTTAAAAGTTGCATGGCTCTAATATCCATCTGTCTTCTGAATGTAAATTCTAGAGGAAAACGGGCTTTCCAGTTGCTTCTGTAGCTTATATCTGGGCTTGCAGCTCACACTTAGTCGGCACCCTTAGCAAGGTAGTTTTGCAAGGACAAAGGCAGGATATGGTTCCCTTCCCCTCCCCCGCTATACTTTTAGCCAGTGGCACTTAAAAATATTGTAGGCTGAATCGGAGCCAAAGTGTCTACAAGACTGAGCTTTCTAACATGCTTGCTTAAGTGCAGCCAGTTCAGACTTCATAACTAGCCACCCAGGGGGCCTATCACCCAACAGCATCCTCCTGCATCGGCGCTGCATGTTAGGAAAGTCTCTGGAAATCAAATGTCACAATGTATGGACACCTTGGGTCTTGTGCAGGTCATTTCTTGTGGAAAAAGAAAAACAGCATTTTGCTTCATTAACCACACTTTTTGTCAAGTTTTTTAACATTTTAAAAAAATTATTTTATATTATTTTATGTACTTATATTCCATTTTGCTTCCAAGCTGTGATTCAAGACAGATTACACACTTTTAAAAATATCATTCTAAGATATAGGTATTAAATCCGGAACTGTGTGCATCCATAGTTTTTGGTTCCCATATTGTTTAAGAAAGTGTGGAATTGGTAGATTTAGCTTTAAGTGCATCCTGAATTTAATTTCTTTTCCATCCCTGCTAACAAGCCGTCATTTAAACTATCAAGGGATCCACAGAGACTGGACAAAATGGGCAGCACTAGTTGTATTAAAAGTTCCCAATCACCTCCTAACGATTGCATCTGAGGAGCAGAGGGACAGAGGAAGCATCAGACCCTTGTTTCTGTAGTACAAGAAGTTTAGTATTACTTTCAAAGTGAGCTATTCTGAAAAGGTGTTGCGTTCTTGTCTGGTCCTGGATCCCACAGGGTAGGCGGCAAGGCTAGTCAGAAACTGCAGGACCACGGACAGCTCCAACAAAGGTTGAGAGCAGACAGAGCTTTTTAAAGCACCTGCTCTCAGACTACCTCTCTCGGGCTCCACCCACTTGTGACTAATTATAGATTCTTAAAGGGCCAGGCCTTTGGCCTGGGCACGGCACTTATCCTTTGTTCCCTAGCTTCTTGCCTGGTGTGCTCCCTGCACTGCTGACCTGGGGAGAGCCTGGAGGAGGCATTTGGTTCCTCTGGTGTAGGAGAAGATGCCAGTGATGATCTAGGTTCTGGTCCTGCAGATACAGGAAGTTCTCCTGGAGACTTGTGTTCCGTAGCCCAGAGCTCAGTTGTTTCCTGATTTCCAGAAGCAGGCTCAGAGCCCTGCCCCTGCTCTGTCTCCACAACTGGGAAGTCTGGAGGCTCTGAGTCTGAGTCTTGACTGCTGCTGGACTCTGTGAAGTGTTAGGTTCAATCCCAAGCATTTTCTGGTAGGCTTGAAAAGATCCAGGAGAGCTGCTGCAATTCATTATAGACAATACTGATTGGTTGGACCAAAGGTCTGACTCAGGATAAATCAGGTTCCTGTGTTCCAGGAGAGAGACCATACCTCAGTGGTACAGCCCATGCTTGGCCAACTTGCCTACCATTCTATCTTTACAATGACGACAGCCTTACATATATATGTATACAGGAAGATATGCATCTCCTCCAGTTAAAAAGTTTCCTCACCAATTAACATTTAGGGAACAAGCCATAATTCAGCAGTAGATCAACTGTATCACATACAGGATGTCACAGGTTGGGTTCCTATGTTTTAGGAAACAGGCTATAATTCAGTGATAAAGCATATGCTTTGAATGCAAAAGGTTGCTGGTTCAATCCCCAGCATCTCCAGGTCTCCTGCCTGAAACCCTGGAGAGAGTCACTGCCAATCATTGTAGACAATACTGAGCCAATACTGGTCCCGTGGTCTGCGTCAGGATAAGGAAGTTTTCTATGTTCTTAAAACTCGCCCCATCTTAGGCAACTAAACCTTTAGTTGATTAATATGCGGATTCAAGCTTATTAAATGAGTGCCTATAGAAATCTTAGTTCTTACAAAAGATCAAACATCCATACATTACAAGTTAAGATGGAGAAGCAGAGGGAAAAGGTCAGGGAGAATCGATAGGATTTTTAAAAATATACCTACTGTTGCTTTTTTTAATTGTAAGTTTTCTTTTATATTAATGAAGGAGGAACAGAAGATTAGGATTTTGAGAGGTATATGCCAAACACCCCCAACACTTTGAGTATGATTCCCAAGTTGCTCCAGTCAATGAAATTGGCCTCTCCATTTCCCTCCACCTCTCCCTTTTTTCATTTAAACGTCAAGGTGAAATTCAAAGGCTTCTGTGGAGATACTTGAATCGTTCAGGAGATCACTGCCCTTCTGGGGATTGGCTTTGTTTCAGTGTTTGAACGCTATTGGTTTTATTATCCCCATTCAGGTAGGGTGATTATTCCCATTCCAGAGCCCCTGAGCAATCACCAGGAAAGCAGACTCAGAAAGAGAGTTTTAATTTGGCAGTCTTAAAATACACACGCATAGACATGCTAGCAAGAACTGCAATAGAATGTTGCAGTGTGGATTGCTCTTTATTCAAGATGCCTGCCACTCCATCCCATTCTGTGGTCCTCTAGTTTTCTGGGATATTTTTCATTAATCAGTCCCTCCCTCTTGTGCAGAGTGATACCATTTAGGTTACATAAGCAATGACACTCAACACTAAACAATGGAAAGAGAGGAGCCCCCCCCCCCTCATTTATTTCATTTGTGAATGAATTTCCATGATCTATTCCAAAGCAAATTACAATGTAGAAACAGTCACCCCCACCCAAAATAATGATTGGATCCTCAGCACAATAGTTGCTTCTTCCATACCCAGTAATTTAATGCATTCTCCGAGAAGGGACCTTTGGACGGTGGTGCAAATCCTTCACCTCCCAAAATCCCTTTGCTCCTCATCACTCATGTTGAAACCTCAAGTGGCATCCTCGTTTCCCATAGGAAGGGAGCAAAGGGGGCGGGGAGGAAGTCCGAGCTGAATTTAAGACCAAATCATTTATAAAGGTTTGTCTACAGAAAAGTAAAGAATGTTTCCCTTCTGATCACCCCCCCTTTCCCTTAATCATCTGGTTGACCTAGGGTGAAAAAGCAAATGCTAAAAGCTGAAGGCAGAAGAGCCTCCTCTTGCCGATGCTTCCCCCCTCCTTCTCTCCACCCCTTCCTGGTTCCTTTTTGATGAGTGCCTGCCTCTGTGGTTTTGCTACTTCTGAGCAGACTGATGGCTCTGAGTCGCTTTAATGACCTCCGAGAAACTGCATCAGGACCTATTTGCAGAGCTGAGGTTGCTTCGCCACAGCCCTGTCTCCTTCACTGCGTGCCCCTGATATTGAGCCTTCCCGTAACTGCAATTACAACATTAACCACAAAATGGAGATTTACAGATTGTTTTCAGCAACACCCATTCAAATTTACTTATATTTACACTCGGAAAAAAATGAGGGTAAGTGCTGTTGTGACCAAAGGCAAGAGACCCAGATCAATAACCAACCAATCCTTAGCTAATAAAGTACTTCTCTAAGGTCTATGGTTTCTGTATTCTGACTTTTGAGGTTGGCCCCTAATGTCTCATCCATTGACTTTTCCCGTAAATATGTCTAATCGAGACCGGGCTGAACCCTGAGGAGGAAAGATACACTTGGTTTGGTAAGAATTGCTAATTAACTAAGTATGTAAAACCTGGAGCTGCTTCGGGGTGTCCATCATGGCCTGAGTCCAGGTGAAGTGTGGGTCTCCAAGGCAGGCTGATTAAGTCCCATATTACGTTACATGGTCACAGTAAGCCTAGACTTATCTACTCAGAAGTAAAGTATCCCAGGTACTAAAGCAATAAGTGTATGTTTCAAACTTTTTAGTTTAAAGAAAAGGCAAGTAAGAGGTGATATACTAGAAGTTTATAAAATCACACATGGTATAGAAACTGGATAGAGAAAAGTCTCTGTCTCTCCCCCCCCCCCTACATGAGAACTCATGGACAGGGCAAGGAAGCTGCATGTTGAAAGATTCAGGACAGAAATGAGAAAATACCCCATGCAGCAAATATTTAAACAATGGAATTCGCTCCCATGGAAGGTAATGATGACCACCAACTTGGAGGCTTTAAAGGAACATTGGATAAATTCATTGTGGGTATGAACCTAGACAGATTTGCCATGATGGCTATGTTCTGCCTTCATGGTCTGAGGCAACAATGCTTCTGAATATCAGCTTCTGGAAACCACGGGATGAGAGAGTGCTCTTATGCTTCTGCTCTGCTTGCAGGCTTCCCACAAGTTGTCTACTGTGAGAACATGAAGCTAGACTAGATG